TGGCCGAGAACAAGAAAGTCCAGATTCGTAGTTCTGAAATGTCCAAGGAGATGGAAGAGCTTGCCGCCAAGGTAGCTCTTTCAGCTGTCTTGAATTTCAAAGTGGAGAAGGACATGGCTGCGTATTTGAAGAAGGAATTCGAGAGAATCAATGGTGAGACCTGGCACTGCATCGTGGGAAAGGACTTTGGCAGGTAAGCATAAGTGGTCAAGCACCACGAGCTGAGTTCCATTCTACCATATTTTACCACCATAGTGTATTACTGACTGTTTGAAAAGAGCTACAATAACCCATAGTGCGGGACACATTCCTTAGCTGCGATCTGCTGGCAATGTTAGAAAGGACATATCTTCAAGTCTGGCGGCGTAAGGCAAAATACCTTAGCATTGCATTGCAGATGCACTGTAATTATCTAACCGAATGTTTATAAGGCTTTTTGACCTTCATGTTAGTTTGAAGAAGCCGTACTTCTGAATAGAGTCAATCGAAACGTTTTGTTAGCTTTCAAGTAGTCCAACGGCTATCATAATTAGGGTCAAGTAAACAAACAAGGTCAAACATCGTTGAAGACTGTCGCCCGACCAAATGGGCAGATTTATATAATTTTTTTCCGAAACTCACTGGACATTTTGCAAAATCAATTAACATTCTGCATGGTTCTGTTGAGCAGTGTACTCCTTCACATTCCACGCTGATCCCACCTGTCCCAGACATTTGATCACACAGTAGTAGTAGGTGCGATTGCTGAAAAAAAGGTTATTCGCCTGATATTCCGGCTTCTAGTTTGAACCCATCATCAGAAGTATACGCAGAAAGAGTACTAATTACAAGTGCCTTGCAAATGATCGTCTTGTATCTATAGCATTCTCATGGCTGGGAGCGCCAAGCTAACAAACCAATGTAGAACATTCGCGTTATTGATATCATGTCAGAGTACACAGAATGGGCAGGTCGTACACGAAACTAACTAGATTTTAACGTCACCACTGAATTTTTCTGCAACTCACTCACTTGTTCTCTTCTGCTTTCAGTTATGTGACGCACGTAAAAGGCGGTTTCATCTACCTCTACGTGGACGACCTGGCATTCCTGTTGTATAAAACTGTGTAATTTTAAAGTTTTCCACTGTTCATAACACAAATACACATGTTGCGCAGCTACCTGAATGGCTGAGCGCTGACCTCCAAATTAAACCTTCTTGGGATCATTTCTGTCATATGGGCCAAATGGGCTAATGAATGAGTTCAGGGTGTGTATTTGTCGAAGGCTTTTGTGGCAAAGACAGAAGGTTTTCCAAACCAAAAGTGCGGACGAGAGGTTTGTTTGGAAGAGCTTTACTGTGAAAATAGCCGTACAACAGCTGTATCACGAGCCAGCTGCCAACTGTTTCTGCACGATATGTGTGTCCGCGAGAGTGTATTGGTTGTGAAGATGTGCCTCCTCGATTTTGTG